CTGATTCTCCCTTCTTTTCCACTGGATGTCTCATTGCGAATAGCTGATCCAGGCATCCTCCAGCATTCGGAAGCGAGAGTGCACTTCACTCAGAATCTTGTGAAGACGCTGCCTAATCCTGTTTATCATAACGCATGAATGCTAAACATATAGAAAGTACAAGGGAATAAATTTGTAAAATTATTAACAACGTAGTGCCAATCTGAATCTTGAATTTCGGATACAAACTTAATTGTTTGCGATGAATCGCCATTCTATAGGGCAGGAAAATCATAGAATATTTCAAATAAGTAGTACAGGCCTTACGCGATTTTGCTTCTGCCAGCAACACCCAGTTTAGTAACGATTTCTGGACCAGTTTCGCCCCAACTGCTAGGCTCTTCATCGATTGTGCCCAACTCAATAGGCACAGCCATTTCGGCTTCTCTTACCCACACAGTGATCTTCAGTCCCAATTATAGCAATAGCAGTTCTGAGAGATTCGCCAAGTGCTCGGCGCTCTTAACGGAACCGATTAGTTCCTTTCGTTGCTCCATCAGTTCATAATTTTTATTGTTCAACTGGATATCTAATTATGACATCTGGCTGTCAAAAAATTGAAGTAGTTTCAACAAGGGCAGAAATGACCAATTTTAGCAGTGAACAAGGGTAGAAGAGAACTGACCACACCGTGCAGATGAGACGTTGACATTTAAGCTTGATCAGAAATGCGCTTCTTAATCCCACATTAAAAGCTGCTTTCGATCACCAACACAAAATACAACCATCGCAGGGTGATCAAGACACCACAGCAGAAAACACTAAGGGATATATCGCTTCCTTTTTTATGATGACTTTTTTCAACGGACTCTTCGATGAATCTACTACAGAAGTGACTCGTTTATTGCAAGATAGCAAAACAGCGTGATTCAGTTGTGAGCTAGCCGTCTGTCGTGACCGGCTTGTAAGGAAAAATTCAACCGCATTCCTCAGACAAATCAAGCAACATGATCGCTAAATGATGTATAAATAATAACCAAGCAAATCATGGAGGCGTAAATATCCATTGTGAATTATTCCAATCATATTCGGTTCAGCGGAGCATCGGAAGCAAAGTTGCCAAATAATACATTTCGTCAAAAGGCAACAGTTGTGAGAGGTAGAGACCTCTGGGAAGCAACTGAGACACCGAGGGAAGATGATGAATCGCCGCACCGCCTTTGCTATCTGTCGAGAACGAGTGTTCAGTAGAAACAGAAAAATCATAAAGACATTAACTTGGCACCATTGTGTAAGACCATTCAGACAGTGTACCAAAAATGAATATTAATAATGAGAAAGTTGGTACCTCGGTCTGAAGTTACAGCATACTTCATTCGTTACAGCCGGTGGTTCTACTTGTCAGGAATTTAGAGGAGCATGACTTCTTTGGTTCAGTTATTTTTCCTTGTACAGTACAAAGAATGATCATCCCCTAGTACTTATAGGGCAGTTGTTATCGCCGCTCTCTGCCCTGCGGTTGGGGTGGTCAAGTAGATCAGCACTGTTAGTTCGCTGGATAAATGTGTCAGTGATACGTGATGTGTTTCGTTGTTTGCACATCGCCGCATTTACAGCATAGTGATAATTTTATTTTTCGGTTCATGCAACCCATCTGACCTACCAGTCCACTATGAGGTCCGTTTAATGCGAACCACGGTCTCGAGGTAGGGGAATGACGAGAACTTCTTTGGTCACGACCTCAGCTGCAATGTTGCTTGGAAAATTCACATCTTGATGTAACTCAGATTTTGAGGTGTTCATGTCCTTTCGATTGGCTACCAGCGATGGGAGAAAAACGGTTTTTTGACTTCCGTTTCACAGTTAGATTTCGACCGATTTTCTGGTGAATTGTCAAATCTGTTTCTCTCTGGGTCTTTGCTTCATTTTAACAGACTGTTGCAACGTCTCACCTGATGTTTAACTGCCACTGAGAAGGATAATGGCACCGTTTGGAGAGTAATGCTCACTTCTCGAGTGAGGTATTGGTCTGGTGTTCACGTGATAGACGTGGCAGTTTCTCAGATTTGCATAATAATTCAGATCGTAGGGGCATCACATCATCATGATATGTTAACTGACTTCGGAATTAACCTCACAATGATTCTTATTGTTTCCTTTCCACCTCTGATGTTTCAAGCATCTCAGGGAGATTCTTAGAAAAAGCTGGTACCGTTCCCATCATAGGGGTACGCCGCAAATCTTCTCGCTAACTGTGGAAGAATCACTTAGGAGGACGGTTGAGACAACTAACTTATAACGACCTAATAAGTTTAACCCTCCGTATCTCTTAAAATGCGTTTCTAGCATAAGGATGTCATCTCGGTGGATCTTCTTAGCAATATGATATAACTGCCTTCCCAGGGCAATATGATAAAGTAGGTAGATTTATGACTTAATAAGTTGGTACGTTAATTGTGTAAAGTTTGAAGGAGCTAAAAATACAAGATTATCATGAAATTTCAAATATTAATGACAGTATCAAGCATGCTATAACTTCGGTTTTCTCGGC